CTGGCTGGGTGCTGGCAGGCTTGCACCTGGCACGGGCACCGTAGCCAGCCCGTGCCCCTTTAAGGGCTCCGGGGCCGGGAGGGGGGTCAGAAGAGTTTCCCTGGTGTTGGCCAGAGTGGGTCTGTTAGTTCAAATTAACTTTGTAGTGTAGTCATACCCTAATTGATTGTAATGCAGACATGCACTCATTGGAAAGTGCATTCAGAGGCTGTACTGTCTTGTTATAACCTAGAGTAGGAGCCACTGCACTGCAGGGTTTCCCCCACACACATCTGACTCACCAGACAGCCTACGGCTGGGCTGTACTGCACCCATGTTGCTCCTACGCCTAATTGCATCTGGACTGCCACATAGCCCAGTCAGTGCATGGCAGCAACTGTCTTGTGATCGGATGTTTGTGGGGGAAAGCAAGCAGCATATGCCCACAGACAGGTACAAGCAGTAGGACCACTAATTTGGGGCTCTTGCTAGACTCTTATATACCAACATGTCTTGGCCCCAGCTAGGAAAGGACATGGACCGGTACCCAGGTGGGTTAATGGCAAAGCCCTCACCCAAGGAGTTGAGTGCTGCTGTGTTAGTATTAGAGGGCCTTCACAAACTTGGGCAGACATAAGGCCTAGTGTATTACACCTTGAACCCAGACATCAGTCAAGCTAACACAACAGGCCTATGGGAATGCTGAGAGCAGCTTTTAGAAGATTTCTTGCATTACAGCTTTTAACTATTACCGAATAAATCTAAATTAAAACATACATATTATTAGCATGATAGGAAATTAACTTGATAGCCCACTGCCCTGCTGGCCCTGCAGGGTCTTTGCAACTTGTCTTCCACCGGGACTCTCTGGTCCTGCAAGATGAGCGTTGCTGGATGCGAGAATCCCAGTTAAGAGAGTTTCAGCCTGTACTACATGCTTTCTAACTGCTTTCATAAGAAATACCTGGATATTTCTCCATATCGTGAAATGTAGATTAGTTGTATTTTTAAATGCATTTTAATACCCAATCAAATTAAAGTGGCAAATATTAAAACTGACTCCTGAGCTAATCAGCAAACAGAGATTCCCATGAGTTACCTGAGCAATGGAGGCTAGAATTTAAATAAAATAATACAGATTTGATATGAGCCTATCAGGATAGATATTGACATGTAAATTAAAATTTAACATAGTCTCATGCCATAGTTTGTTGATAGCCACGTTATGCTACTACTTTCTGCCAATTACAACTTATGTTGATTTTTTATGTAACAAGTTAATGTAATATAATACCTAATGGGTACAGAAGTTCCAACTCAACATATCTGCTTCTTGCAGACACTGATTCTTTAAGAACAAAAACAAGTTCATACTACTTTTTACGCCTGTTAGGGTATGTCTACCCTGAAGAGTTTTTCTGAAAAAACTTCACTTACGTCCACACTACAATAGCGTTCTTTCAAAAAAAATCAGAAGAATAGAGTGGTTTTTCTGACACTGATAACCCTCTTTCTATGAGGAAAAGGTCTTTTTTCGAAAGAGCTCTTTCAGAAAAAGCTGTGTGTGGATGGGGAAGAGTGAGTACTTTCAAAAGAAGAGGAATTAGGAAAAAGCACAGATGCCCTGGTGGCCACTCAGTCCATAGCAATCACAGCTTCCATGTGAGATAGCATCCATTCAGTGTGGATGCGATCTTTCGAAAAAGCACATCACTTTTTTAATGCACTTTTGCGGTGTAAATGCTCTCTTTCTGAAGAAATTTTTTCGGAAGATTTCTTCCGGAAAAGCTTCTTCCGAAAGAAGCGTGCAGTCTAGACATAGCCTCAGAAACATAAAACTAGTATACATGTGAGAGAGACTGCTCTGGATTGCTTTCTATCTTGTGCACAATCAAAAGGAATTTATAGCTATGTTTCAACTGCAGGATCTTCATCTTGAGTTGCAGAAAGGGGAATAATGCAATTGTACCTCAGTTGCACTTTTGACACCTTGTTTGGGCAGGGTTACCAGCAATGATACTCCAAAGAACACAGCTTTACTTTCAGACATTCCAGATTGAGTTTACAAGGCTGATAGTTCAGAAGACAAAACAAAAACACAGTTTTACTTGTAAGTAATCTGTCAGTGAGACAAATATGGAACCACATGATGCCATTTTTGGAGTTACTTTTCAGAGCATTGCTGCACTTTAAATTTCAATTATGGAATCCTGATCCTATTGAAATCTATAGGTGTTTCACCATCAACTTCATATAGGGCCAGGAATTCACACCAAATGTTTAAAAAATATTTCCTGAAGGAAAGCTTCAACAATTACTGTATCTGAATGTCTATGCACTTATGGTTGCAAGAAATAAGGTGCATCACAATGTACAGGGACTACCTTATTTTACCTCAAACATTTTACAGTCTTTTCATCTTACTGCACATGGAAAACTATATTTGTTGCTTAAGTTCTAGGATCTGAGAGGCTGGATATTTAAATGAGTATAAAGACATTATTATTTCAAACCATGTTTTAATACTGGTTTAGTTTTAGTCTGACCATGTAACACATTTGGGAGTCACCAACTGATGGCATAAAGGATGAGAAGCAGGGTATTCTGGAAAACAGCACTAAGTAAATCTATTCCCCTCACCTGACTCCTCTTCCAGGGCATAATGTAGAAATGGAGACAACAAGGTAGTAGCAATGTAAGCATGGAGAAGAAGGGGAGGGAAATGACCAGATTAGTGGCTGTCACCAACTCTTATACTGGCTATTGCTTGCTTACCCTATACTCCACTGTGCCACCGAAAACTTATTCTTGGCCCCTGCTTTCACATGCACATTTGAATAAACAAACAAACAAACAAAATCAAGACATTTTGTAAATAAGTGTCTTTTGAGATAAAACCCCAAAAATATTTGAAGAAAACCACAGCCAGCAAAAGGCACTCATTACAATTAAAAAAAAAAGACAGTTGCAATTAAAAAGGTAGACCTTGATAACAGTTGATTGGATTTTGTAGATAGAATAGGTTTGTTCTGTGAACCCAGACTAAAGCCCGGCTGCACTGGGTCTTCTTTTTCCCTCAAGCCACCCGAAACCTCCACTGCACGCTGGAATGCACACAGTTGCCCTATAGCATAATCCTGTCATCTCCACAGCCTTCTTCTTCTCACACAGCAGTCTTACCACATTCAAGGCCTTCCGTAATGTCCAAGATGCAACATTTGGCCTTCTGTGTGCAAAAAACCCCCCTCTGATCACAGAAGTTAAAAAAATGTTGAATATTTGGATTTCTTCACATTCTTGAACAAATTCTTAATCTTCATCACTGGAAACATAATGCTCTGCATAGTCAAAGACTGGGAAGTTGATTGGCAGCTCTCCCCATTTTTTGAAAACTTTGTTTGAGGTTTTCTTACCCTTGAATACAACTACAAAATTTCTGATCTTTAAGCAAGGCAGGTCTACACCTCGATGCACCATCATATTTCCCCACGCCTGAAAAATGTAAGGAAAGTTGTATTTCAGTTCAAATAGTCAGTGTAATTAGACAAATATGTTAGCACAAAATAGAAAAAAGAAACACCCACTTACTTGCCCACAGTCTTTACAGATAATTTCACCATTTGTTTGGTAATCAGCATGTTTTTCTTGCAGTGTCTTATTTTCCCTTATGTTGTAAAGGTCTCTGAAAATGGACAGGAAAGACTAATCAGAGTGTGTTATCCTTTTCATAGCAAAAATAGGGTTACCAGATGGTTTAAAAAAATACTAGACACACTTGATCTCAGATGGGGGGAAAGTCGGGGGGAACTGGCTGGCGGGAAGCAGGGCTGGCTGGGAAGGAATCGGGGGGAGCTGGGCTGACCGGGGGGGAACTGGCTGGTGGGAAGCAGGGCTGGCCGGGAGGGGGTTGGGTGGAACGGGACTGGCCTGGGGGGAACCAGTTGGGAGGGAGCGAGGCTGGCCGAGGTGCACGCAGATCCTGGGGTGCTGCCTGTCCCGCGCACGGTCCTGGCAGTGCGCAAAGGAGAGTCCGGCGCTGGGGATTCCATCCGCCCTCTCTACTGCGTAGTTGCGTACAGGCAGTCCCCGGGTTACATACAAGATAGGGACTATAGGTTTGTTCTTAAGTTGAATTTGTATGTAAGTCGGAACTGGCTCCAGATTCAGCTGCTGCCACTGAAACTGACCAGGG